GATCAAGGGCAACCACGTAGCGATTGCCGCCTCCTTGTGATGGGCTCTCAGGTTATCGCGACGCGAGAAGCCGCGCCGGCAGTCCGGAACCAGCAGGCATGCGGCTTTTCAGTAAATGGCTGGATAGATGACGCTGAAGGCCTATGAAATATCGAAGGCAACTTCTACACGCCGCAACACTGCATTTGAATTGTCGCCGCCGAAAGTGCCATGGTATGTTTGCTGTTGCGACTGTGGCTCAGGCGTCACGGGTGGATAGACAAAAGACCTGGTTTATTAGACTGTTCACAGGTTTGATCTTTTGACCAGCCGGACAGTCAGCCAAGACGTGCGGAAGAGAGTGGTATAAACTGACAATAATTCCAAGGGGGAAACGTCCAATCCACACATCATCCACGCCATGCAAATGGTCTGGAAAAACTCTGATTGCCAAAATTTTCTCAAAATTTATTTGCACTTTTCAACGTTCGTTTCAACGACTGTTGAAGGTGAATCACCGTAAACATCTTGAATATGAGATGCAACCGCCAAGAGATGGTTCCAAGGATAGCCCAGTCTAGATTCATGCACGCCACAGTTCGAATTGGGGGCTTGGCTTTGGCGAGATTGGCCGCAAACTCTAAAAAGCATGCTTCAACGCTGTTGAATCACCTCAACGGGCGGCAAAAACAAAGTGTTTCCTACAGATTTACAGTGCAGTCCACCACTTCTCCCATAGATTTTGCATACCTGGCAGCTACGAGCATCCGTAGGCGAAAATGCATAAAAGGACGCTCCACAACCGGTCTGGGAAATTCAGGACTTCCATCCTCATCCTCCGAGACAATCACGGTCATCTTGTCTGACCGCAGACTTGACTTATAATTAGTCTTGGCTTTCGCTGGCATGAGCCCATTGAAGTAAGAAATGCGCTCTCTCGCAGGACGGGCTCTGCATTATCAAGTGAACTCCGCAGGGACATCTGCGAAATCAAGAGACTCCGCAGTGACAACTGCGATACCAAGAGACTCCGCAGTGACAACTGCGATACCAAGAGGCTCCGCAGTGACAACTGCGATACCAAGAGACTCCGCAGTGACAACTGCGATACCAAGAGACTCCGCAGTGACAACTGCGATACCAAGAGACTCCGCAGTGACAACTGCGTTACCAAGAGACTCCGCAGTGACAACTGCGATACCAAGAGGCTCCGCAGTGACAACTGCGATACCAAGAGACTCCGCAGTGACAACTGCGATACCAAGAGACTCCGCAGTGACAACTGCGATACCAAGAGACTCCGCAGTGTCAACTGCGTTACCAAGAGACTCCGCAGGGGGACGCTGCGTCACGAATTGAACTCCGCAGGAGACCGCTGCGTCAACAAGTTCTCCCTCACAGCCTTGAGCCCTGTGATTGTATAATTTTGAGCTTCCATGCAGCCTTGAGCCCTGCGTTATCAATTTTGTGCTCGTTTAGGTGACCCGCGGCGCCGCGGTGCTCGTCCTGATCCTCTGACCACATGCAGGCACCTCTTCGCGGTGTCAGAGACTAGTATTCGAGGGAGTTACTCGAAGAAGCCAAGACCTGCTCCAAAGAATCCATACAGATTTAGAATCTTCTCAAGAGCTTTGTGTGTTATATGGTTCTGCTTGCTCGTAGAGTTCCCTATTCGTATTCCTTGTTTGCGTAAAGGATTTTGTAGCCTTCAATCACCCGCTGAGCTTCGAGGATGGGCATTCTCTTCCATAGGATGCCATGTAGAAAGTATATTGGATTATTAGGGCAATGATTATCCGGTGCATGATAGCGTGGGCCAATCTGGGTGATGTCTGCAACTCGAGTAGTCTCCATTGGTGTGGAGGCTTGTCCAGAGACCGACTAGCGGTGGCGGCAGGAGTTGTTTGTCTGTGGTGGGTTGCGAATTGCGGGCATCGAGGATGGATGACGCATGTTGAGGGTCAGGATCGAAGGAAAACCAGTGTCCGGTGAGAACACAAATTCGGATGATGCCAACGTCTTTTGACTGACTGGTTGACCAGAAATACTTTACGCATTTTGCTCTCTCCTCGGAACCAGAGGGGGTTCCGCTTCCCGCACAGCATATGATTCTTCAGTCAATCCAGCGGTATCTCGAATATCATGCATTTTTGTATCTCCACCGGTATTTCCTCCCAGAATCTCTGCAAAATGGGTGGACATGATGAGTGCACTATTGTACTGTAATGGAAAACTTAAAACAAAACAGTTGCGCCTGGGAAGGGAATATAGCTATGAGGGTCACCGCTCGCGATTGAGACTCCATTCTTGCGATAGAATCTGTCGAATATACGATGGGCTAGTCTCGCCAGCCGTCTACTAGTCACAATTCTGCTGTTGCATATTCAAATGAGCCCGAGGTTTTTTGAATGAGAATCTAGTATAACCACGATGGCGATTTAATTAGTGATACTCTCAACTGTTTACGTATAAGCAGTTTCTGTTGCTTGCTTAGAGTGACTTCCTGGGGTAAGCATCTGTTCACAGATTGAAATACCTGCAAAGGACAAGCAGGATGCGACAGTGCTACTTATATGAGATACGCTAATTTGAACCGATTTTATAGCCTATGTGGCCCCAGGAGCTCCGACGCGGCTTTTGGACCTCAACCTATCCCCTAACACTTGTTTCCTAGAATCACGACGGGCGTTCCTGTGAGTGGTTCTTTTGAACCTGGGAATTATAAGCTCCTGGGAGCCTCCCATTTGCCTCTAGAGATCTAAGAATTACATGCTAGCCTGAATCAGAAAGCTAGGCTGATGCCTCAGACTGAGCAAGAGATATAAAGCGACTATTCCTTCAACCGATACGTTTTGCGGTCTATTTGAGTACCATTTGGAATCTTGACGTTTGTACATGGTACGATTTTAATATTCAAACAAGTGACGCAAATTCTCGAATGCAAGAGTTCGAAGATGCTGCTGCAGCTCCCTCCAGAAATCCTTCTCTACCTTGCAGGCTTCTTGCATTCATCGCGAGATCTGCTTGTGATGGCTCGTGTGAACAGACTTTCAAGAGACATATTCCTCCCGTGTCTCTACGCCTTCAACGTTCGCCTTCAGGAAAGCTCCGCCTTGATCTGGGCCGCTCGAAACAACAAAATCATTCTGGCAAATCGTGTGCTAAACGAATATCGAGGAAATGCCAACACGACCGATTATAGATTGCGCACACCTATTTTTCACGCTATTCAAGTCGGAAGCGAGGAAGTCGGAAGCGAGGAAGTCGGAAGCGAGGAAATGATTCGAACTCTTTTGGAAAGCGCGGCAGACATCAACTGGCAAGATGACCAGCAGCAGACCCCCCTACTGTACGCTCTGCAGCGGGGACGCCTGTCCATGGCGCGCATTTTATTGCGACATTTCCATCCATCAGTGGATTGTACGGATTTGAAGGACCGAAATGCCATCTGGTATGCTGTCGCCAATTGCGATGAGGATTTGGTGCGACTTCTCCTGGAACTGCAAAGCGACATATGGATGATGGACTGCCGACGGACCACCCCTCTCAACCTGGCCATTTCCAAACGGAATTTGCCCATCACCCAAATGCTGCTTCATCATGCAGAAGCTTATCCTTCACAACCTCGACTGGTGGACGTGAATGCCGGAGATCACCCGCTTTGCTTAGCCGTCGACGCTGGTCTGAAAGAAATCGCTCAAACCCTGATTATCTATGGTGCAGATCTCCATGTCACGGACGGATACGGCCAGCCCTTGTTGCACCAAGCCGCCAGCAACGGGCATGATGACGTCATCCGACTGTTGCTGAGCCACGGAGTCGATGTTAATAGTACCGACCCAGGGGCCCACACAGCACTGCATTTCGCTGCATTTTATGGGCACAAGTCAACTACAAAGCTACTTTTGAGCACGCCTGGAATTGACATTGATGCTTGTGACGGCGAAGGAGCTACGGCTCTCTGTGCGGCCGCTCGTGGGAACCACCGATCCGTCGCATTGCACATCTTGGCCGAGGAACCAGCCAATGTCAACGCACGCTGCCTAGGCCAAAAGACTGCTCTTCACTTTGCGGTTGAAAATAGAAACTTTCTCCTCGCTTGTCTGCTTGTGGACTTGGATTCACTGGACCCAAACATCTGCGATGACCAGGGGTGGACAGCCCTCAGCTACGCGGCGGGCCAGGGCGATCTGCGGATGTTGGAGCTCCTCCTTACTCGCACCGATCTGGATTTGAATGTTTCACGAGCATCTCCCATTTATCTTGCTGCTGAAAGAGGACATCTGGAATTGGTCCGCCGACTTGTCTCCCTTGAAGAGGTTGATATCAATCAGACTGTCTGGCACAAGTCTCCTCTATTTATTGCAATCGAAAACGGCTACCGTGATGTTGCAAAGCTGCTTCTTGAACAAGGGTCTCGACTCGATGTTAATGCAAAGACCTCTCTTGGGGACACCGCACTACACATGGCTGTCTCTTATGGGAACCTGGATATTGTGGAGTTATTACTCAAAGACGATCGACTAGATGTCACAGGTGCTAATCGATATGGAGAGTCAGCCCTGGAGCTAGCAACCCGTAATGGGAAGGAGCACGTTGTCAGGCGTCTTTGCCGCGACCGCCGAGCAAGAAATGTTTGCCACTTCCGGGGTGCCATGGAAGCTACATCGAATATCCGGATTCTTTATTTTCTTCAGGGGCAGTTGTTGATACATGGCGTGGAACACGGTGTCCGTCGGTCAGCTCGACTTGCCGGAGGATCGTCCCAGTTCGCGGAGTCTAGCACGTCGCCATCGCTTCGCCGGTCAACACGCATGTCACAATCGCGCCTTGACAGATCTTAGATAACATGTTACAGTCAATATGGAGTTTCGATAATTTGAACAGGCTTTTCAGAGGATCTTCTGTAGGTCAATCATGATCCCGTGCAAAATGCTCGTATAGAAATATCAGAATGAGATTACTAGTCAATGTTCGTATGAATTAGATACGTAAAAGATCAACGGTGATCCGTTGATGTGCTAATGTGTTGATGTTGATGTGTTGATGTCGATGTCGATGTCGATGTTGATGTCGATGTTGATGTCGATGTTGATGTCGATGTTGATGTCGATGTTGATGTCGATGTTGATGTCGATGTTGATGTCGATGTTCGTGTTAAACGTTTCAACATGCTTTGCTAAACCTGGGCATTCTGACATTATAACTTTCGACTTTACCACATACTTTGTTTAGATTCAATCCCAACGCTCACCAGTGCTAGTTAACAGGGAATCGTTGGTCAATGGAAATGACCCAGATATCAAAACATTGTATACCAATCTAGGTGGTATGACATCAAGAGGAAAGAAGATTGGCTTCCTGGCTCTAGGTAAGGGCACTTTTACTATGTCGAAAGTAATAATCTATCATCCCTGACCGTCTGATCTAGGCTCTCAATTATATAAAGGGCTTCCCCAGTCTCCAGTCGCCTCCTTGTTAATCTCCGGGAAGACAATCACTTGGTTGTCAAAAGACCACGACAGCAGAACATGAAGATTGACGATAAAGGTATGCCCAAAGCACTGCACCACAACGTGATGTTCTAAGCTCATCACAGTCTAGACTATATTAGCCTTCACGAGTTTTGGTCCACCTCGTCCGACATCCCAGCAACGCCACCCCTCCTAGCCACTGAATGTGATGGTACTCTGCTAGATTCAACTATCGGAGGCCAACGTATTGACTCTAGCGGTTCGATACCACCTTCAGTGAACTGCCTTCTTTTTCCTGACCCGGAGAATCCACAAGCAGCCTTCAACTGGCCGGGCCCAGATCTTCTTTCCCCTACGACTCAATGCGAAGATATAATGCTCTATATGTCGGCATTTGTTCCAGCTAGGCTACTGCATTGGGTGGAGATACGCCTCACGGAGCTAGATCAGCTCACGGGCCAGACAATTGAGGAGCATCTGTTCCACCTGTCTTCGACCGCGTATGGCAGATGTGATCTCTACTGGGTGCGCAGACAAATTATGGATATCATCTCTAGCCCTAGGGATGATCAGCCGAGACACTTCCGATTGTCCTTACGACCGCGCACGGAGCTGCCCACATATTTCCCAGATGCGGCCTTCCCTTTGCACACAAACCCTTGGCAACAGGCCTGAATCCAGTTGAATTTGTACAAAACTTGACAGATAATTACAGGTAGCCTCTCTGGTAGGCCAATGAAACGGCTCATTGTCACTGCTGATAAGTTTTTGGTCGTTTTAGGCCTAATCTGAAGTAAGGTTCTCGTTAGGGAAGATTATCGCATAAGGGGGACCTGCTATACAGCATTATAGTGACGTCAATTCTAGCTAACGAAAAGCCAACTCACAGGTGGGAAAAGGCCGGTAGTAATGGGTCTCTATCTCCGGCTCCCGTTCCTGAGCCAGATCTAGAAAAGGTTGGAGATTATTCGTCAATCCTATTTGCTATCGAGCAACTCATATATTGTAGAACTAGGGGAGCTGACCAGATTTTCCTAGAATAGACCAGGCACCTAGAAGGACGTGTGATGAACCCTGGCCTCTCTTCTGCGTTCCTGGGGCCAATAAGCCTGCTATTTGCGACAATATACCCTGCTTCTCAGAGCAGCATGAAGCTCCTGGGACCACTGCCGACTTTAGCAATTGTTAAAGGTGCCAAATCGGCTTGGCTCCCTGAGGTCCATACGCTTTCTGGAACGGCCTAAAGGCAAACACATCACTAGCAACCCTCCGTCTTGCGCGTCATGCTCAGTAAGAAGAATGAGTCCGTCCAAATAGTTATTACTCCTTGTGAATGGTGCCTAGGTCATACTGTATGGAGTCAACAAGTTTCCTATCTGGTGAGTTATGCCTAAATCATAGCAATTTCTTTATAAAAGAGAACAATCGTTTGTGCGACCACGTTTTGCATGCTCATTTCGGTTGCCTGTAAATGTGGTGCCAAGATAGAAACTGAGCAGATGTTTTGCACGCATGTTGACTCATTGTTAAGCGGACACCAGGAAAGCAGTGGGCGAACGCTTACGCATCACCAGCAAAACGTGAGCCCCGCCGTTAACGTTGAGCATCAACTAGAAACCACCGAGCGCCTGGAACGTTCGCTTGTCAATCCTACATGCAAGGCTCAAGTAAGTGAGGCACTTGCCCTCATCATATGACTGTTAGAGTATGATAGAAAGGTGACCGTTGCTAACATGTAATAGGTCTCATGGTTCAGTACGGAAGCTAGAATATAAATACTGTCACCCTTCTCTACTTCTTTCCCAAAACCAACTCATTCGGATTCGCCTACGCGACATTCAAGAATGACAACCAATCACGACACCGACACGAGCGAGGATGATGGCCTGATGGCTCAGGCGAACGAGCCGCTTAAACGCGAGCTGCTCCAGAGCCAGAAACTCACTCTCACTACATACCGAGCGCCTCGACGCGTGGTGTCTCTCGGCATCTCCCCCAGCTACGTCAAAGACTGGATGCCAGCAGACGCTTTTCGGGAATTGTATCAAAATTGGTACGTGCCGGCCTCCTCCGCTGGACAAACGCTAATCCACGCATGAAGGACGCCATCATCGAAAGATTCAATCTTGACCGTCAGAGCTTCCAGCCATTGTTGGAAGACTACAGTGACCATCTCTCAATCATTGTTCCCGATCAAACACTTGCCGACCAGCCAGCGGAGCGTGAGAATCGACGCGCACTGGGTTTCATTCAGTACGAACAAAAGACCGGTCGCATCACGATCGCAAATGCAGCATGCAACTATCCATTAGTGCATTAGCTATGGGGTTCTCAACCAAAGATGCGCACATCATCTTGTGGGACGTCACGGCGAGGGTCTCAAGCTGGCGGCCTTGGTTCTCTCTCGAGATAGCTACAATGTGAGTATCGCCGCGAGTGGTTGCAATTGGAGGTTTGACATGCACACAGACGCCGCTTCGATTCCTGTACTGTGACGCCATCTCAGAAAACCAAGTCGATCGAGTGGACCGATCCTGCCCTAGACATGGCAAGCCTACGTTACCATGTGCGGAGGCAGTGGTGATCGGCGCGACGCGGGCCAAGTCAGGCCGACCAGTCGCGCTAGACGCGTTTGTGGATTGGCTCCGCTTGACGACGATGGACATTCGCGGGCTCACCTGCCCTTCCGGCATCATTTCCTCACCACATGGTGACTTGATCCTTGATCCCCAGCTGCGAGGTCAGCTCTATCACAATGGGATCACCTTGGCTAATTCCACTGTGGGCGGGGCATTCCTCTTCGCGTATAATTTTGCCTATTCATCCACCTGCCGCGACCGTCGCAGACTGGCATCCTGGCGGGATGCGGCTCGCCAAGTACAACAGATATGGGAGGAAGCTCTATGCAAGCAGGTAGACACCATCTTGCCTCTACTTGTCGATCTGTTGCGAAACCATGCCCGTTCTGCCGACGCCGAGATGATAGGCCCTCATTTAGAGCCATCGGCGGCGCGTCAGATCTGGCAATACCTGCTGCGCGAATCAGCAGATAAGGAATTCTTTTACAACGAGAGCTGCAATGATCAGGTATGTACTTGGGTATAGACAGTGTCGCATTTTGATAGCTGATGCAGACAGACCACGAACATGATCCGGGACAACCTCGGCAAGCGCCCGGCACGTCTGCCGGACACGCTATGGCACATGCTGCGTGCCCACTGCCCCATCCGAACCGTCGAAGAGGAACAGCAAAAGCTGTTTAAGGATGCAAAGCCCTGCGTCGTCCCAGACACAACATTCGCAAGAACAGTCGACTGCGCGTTGCGAGCCTGCTTCGCTCTGCTGAGTTTCACCGACCATATTCAGGTATTCTACGTCCGAGGCTCAGCCGGCAAAGTCGACGCATACTTTGACAAGGGACAGGGTACACTTAAGATACATTGCCGATGGTTGGACTTTGCTTGTACGCACCACCGGTCATTCTGCCGGCCCTGGTATCCGAGCAACCTTGCCGACACAAACGCCCCCTTTTTCTGTTGCCATGTGGTGGAAGAGCTCCTGGTTCGAATCAATTGCATCCATGTTCAAAGCGCACCCGACGTCTCGGCCAGCGGAGATAAAATTCATGCGTCAGATTGGACGGCGACTGCGATACCTGCTGCACAGCATCAAGTTGGAGCCATACCCCAGGGGCATTCTGGTCAGTTGGGAAGACAATGAGACGGAATCCGTTCGCACGCTCGGCCCAAGCGGCCCGGACTACCATGTTGTGCTTCATGATGACAATTGTGCAAACGCTGAGACGGCGCTTCTCCACGATAAAGCAGGTAAGTGGTCATTAATCATCCAGGGAACAACAGCTGACCCTCTGGTACAGCCCTCCCCAGCGAAGTGGTGCCCTGTGGCTGCCGCCAGCAGTTCGCTCGCCAGACACACCGAATGTGCCTCTTTACCGGTCTGTCTCACACATCGACATATTATGCCATGATTGCGTTGAATGAAGATCGAGCTTTTTATGGAGTGCCGTCTAATCGACTATTGCCGGGGTCGTATGAGAAGGTGGAAAACATCTCCCAGTAGACTATTCGGAGAGCGCCTTCGCTCTGCGCTCGGCAATGGATGGTGATCTGACAGGAAGGACGGAATGACCCATCTTACCAGAAGACAAGTGGTATGATCATTGATATGAAACCAAGCACATTCTATGCTAACACTCCATACCAAGGCTGCGGAGGTTGCTTCGGATTGGCAGTTATCTTATCTTGGATGTGAACAATGTCAAAAACCCGGCTCTTCCCAGGCTTCTGCGATGAGCAATGTGTGAGGGATTATTGGGCGGGCGTTATGTGTTAGCGGTCTCGGTTGAAATATGGTCTGTGACTTGAGCAATGATATGAGGAAATGGTCAGCTAACAAGTGTTAGGGGCCTGTGATGACCCGGGTCATTTCATCTAATGTCCAGTCTACCTCCGATACTCTATCCACTTGACCCTCCCACATCGGGATAACCTTGCGTTCACGTTCGGTTCAGAAGCTACGACCGGCGAGCCGACCGACGGACACTGCATCCTGTGCTAGAGAGTGCTCGTCTGTGGTGCGATGACACTGACTGCACCAGTCGACGATCTAAACCTTTATTCTGAGGGCTATCCGTGGTATCCGTACGTTCCATCACTGGAGCTGTTTCCGCGTCTTCACGTGCTGGGTTAGCATTTGCTCTTGTTCTCGTTGAGCGGAGCAGGACATCCGGAGCATCGTCACTTCGGCTACATCGAGTGAGCTCTCATAGGAGAACATGTCTGACATCATGCTTCAGCCATCTTCCACACGGCTCAGATGAGCCAACCCCCGGCACTGTTTACGTCGCAGGACCACTCTCACCCACCTGCTTTTCAATGTCTCCTAAACAAAACGAACAAGGGACAGCCGCTGTCTCATCGCTGGGAGACTGCAGTTCTTTTGCATCCCCATCCCAATATTGAATCCCGACAGGTATTTGTTTGAGCTGGCAAGCTACACCATGGAGCGCTATTGATTCGTAGCCTCGATGCCGTGACCTATCGGACGAATCTATCCGACGGCCCGAGAGGAAGCGGGTATGAACTAGAAGTGTTGAACTGTCCTCTTTTTGGGGTGACTCTACCGGCCTAGAAGGACAGCTACATATCGATTGCTGGCTCTAGTTCGCGTGAACATTGGGGTGCCGCGCCAGCGACCTCGGGGTATGCCTGTCTTGTTCCCTGCTCCGAACAGCAGCCTCATACCACTACTGATCTAGCTGGGCAGCTGGTCACGGTCGGTGCTATCTGGAGCAGAAAGTTCCTCATGACATCACATGAAGTAGGTCGTAGCGTCCGGAAATCGACAGGCCGTGTGGCGATGTTGCCAATTACTTCCTGATTTTGATGTCTTGGAACTTGACGGAGTTCTTGCACCGCGTACCCGCCTTGCGTGATCCACAGCGAATTCGGGCCTTGGCAGAGAGGCAGACACCATTTCATTCGTATAGGATCGTTGTAAAGACGTCGAACCTCAGGGCCTACCCGACCGAGCACAACGTTACCCACCCAGGGGTTATCGTCCGCGAGGAAGGATGTTAGTAATGCAGACCTCAAGCTGCGATGATTCTGTTATCACAGCTCCCAATTGCAGGGTCTCTCATAACTTCACACCTCATGGGCGGTTGCTATATCAGAGCGTGGGGCCAAGTCGTGATATTCCTAGAATGAGAATCGGGCTATTCTCAGGTCACTCGACTACGTCTCTACATAACCCATCTCTTGCGCAGATGACCTATGATAGTCGCTGGTTCTTCTTGGGTGTTGAAATATTTAAACCAACGTTGAATTGTTTAAACGGATGTTGAAATAGTGTTGAAGAGAATCAACCGACCCCGGTCACACCTCGATTGCACCCGTGGTTCGCCTTTTTCGTCAAGATGCACCCACCCTTTATCGAATTTTCCATTTTCTGCGGTGAGTATTTTCAGCAATCCATCGTGAAAGACTGCATAGCCCAAAAACATAGTTCCATGGGTCTTTAAATGTTCCGCAAATCAACTGCACAAAATCCTTAGCCTTGATTCAAGCGTTTTCCTTTTACAAATAACCATTGCCAGCTTAACGCCTAGGAAAGTTTATAAACAATCACTCTTTCCCATCTCATTTACTCAGTTTCATTCAGAATGGCAAATCGCATTACCAAGACCCCTACCTTTCGACCAGGCCATTATGCCGCCAAGCTAGCCAAAGCTCTCGAAGATGAAGCTAAAGCAAAAAACCGCTCTCGTCATAAAGATGCGGCTGGATGCGAATCTAAGTCGTCTGGGTCAATACAAATGGGGCCTGAAAGCCATAATGGCAGCAAAGTTATACACCAATCCGATCGAGAAACGGAATTGGTCGATTCTTCACCAGACAGACTGCACCAATCTACAACACATGCGAACAACCGGTTAGTAAATGAGGCGAACGTCCATATATTTCTGTTCCTCAATGCTGATTAATCTTGCTCAGACCTTCGGAGCAAGTGAAGCAAGGTCCCTTCAAAGCTTTATCCGAAAGAGCGAAGCAGATGGAACGAGGCAGAGAGTGGGAAAGCAACGCTGCTAAGCGACTGCTCAAGCGAGAGCTGGCTGGCGAAATCGAAATTTTGAAGGGCGAGATGGAGGATCTTAAACAAATGGTCATCTCTCTTCAACCCCTCCTGTCTGAGCGAAGCAGGGGAAAGCGAGTCGCTTTCCAAGACGGACTCAGCTAGATAAATATAAGCCCTGTCGAGGATTTTCGATGCAATGAACCGCTTTTTTCTTCTAAAATATAACAGTGAATATCTCCGCAATGCATATTCTCCAGTAAACCCATTCATTCATTCACTTATTGCCTAAAGACTAAGGTTGAAAAAATGATTGTCAGTGGATTGCTAGTGTTTCTATAGCAGTCCCCAATTAATGACGTGCGCAACTCATAAGACTGGAGTGGTTGCTCCCTTGTAAGTTCTGGCAATAGCTGTCTTGTCATGATCCATCGAAAGAACCTTTCCACGATATACGACAATACCTTGGAAATGACTTTGGATGAGAACAGCCGAGCCCTGCATCGCTCGTGCTCGCTATAAGTAGGACACTCTCGCGTTTTCGCCGCCAAATCATCACAAGTAGGTGATAATATTTTAAAGCAGGTCTACGACTCATTTTCCAAGAAATTAATACAGTCTCGCGATATAAGAGCCCGTCCTTGGTGAAAGCGCAATGTTAAAGGTAAAGCCGAATGCTTATTAGACCTAGAAACCGTGCGCATCCAGGGGAATGTAGGGGACATTTAGAAGAAACACACAAATGACGTATCCGAGTCCAATTGTCCAATTCTGCGCTGACTGTGGCATTGTACTATTAACAACATACCGAATGCCATCTAATGAAGACTGAATGCATCTGGGCCATTGAGGACTCCTGGATCGAATTGAGAACGCACACGTGTCCTGAATAAGATGATGCGGGCGTCGGGACGATTCTGGGAGGTACTGAATAGAAAAATCAGTGAACAGCAGTTATTTGGTCTAACAAGGCCCTTGGGATCAAATTTGTATTCACTCTACCTAATTGACAAACTGGGGCTGCCATACTATTGGGAAACGCACGTGACCCTAAGTTTTTGGCCCTGTGACAGTACTACTCTGCGGATCGATATTTGCAGATCGCCTGGTGTACCATGGATCATATACCCGGAGAACTTTTATAAATAATAAGTGTCTCACCGTTGAATGGTGATGGTCAACTGTTGTGGTGCGTCAATCGTCAACGTTAAGAGAATTCTTTGTCGTAAATGGCCTGTCTTCGACTTTCTGCCCAGCATCTGGTTGTGAGGGACGGAAGACTTGGTATAGTCGTAACATTTGTGAAGAGGGGGAAGCGTCGAACCCCCCAATTCGCCCGCAAGTCCCCGTGGGGCCGTCCAGGCCGGCCATGTAACGACGTGGAGAGTTTCCCTCTCGCTAGGCATTTTTAAATGCACTCCTCGTCGTTCAACGCTCTGTTAAAGGTAGTTCACCGTAAACAACCTCAATGTGAGAGACAATTTTCAAGATACGGATCCAAGGGGGCGGCCCGTACGGCGGTGTATAGACGCCATTCGCCAATGCATAATTAATAAGCAAATTTACCCGGCAGAATTTTGATTATGACCAAGTCCAACCTCACTGTCGCATCATGCACGGGCCACGAAGGACTTTCTCCACCACCGAAACCTGCCTATTTGCTGCAGCCATAAAATCGATCAGAAGCACCTATCAGATTCACATTTCCAACAATTTATCTAGCTTCTGAGGGCTTAGTTGTTAGGCAAGATCAAGAGATCGTGTGGTAGCCTGCTTTGGGGAGGTAGAAAGGGGTGAAATAATCCTCGGCGGAAATTGGGGGGAAGGCCTAGTATTAAGGAAAGAGACGAATCACATGACAGAGATTCTGCCTGAGGGGTAAGGCATTAAGGGGGACGGCCCTAAAGGCGGTCAAAATATGCATGATTCCTGACCAATTAGATACCCGGATTGCTGATCGAATTATGCATTGGCGAATGGCATCTATGCACCGCCGTAGGCCCGTCTAGATCCTTGCAAGCCACGGTTCAGGGTGGGGCGCTTCGTGAGACTGGCCGCAAACTCTAAAAGCATCCTTCAACGGCTGTTGAGTCAACTGCACCGGCAGCAGAAATGCTATGTTTACAGCACAATATATCACGTCTTCTCAGAATTTTGCATACCTGGCATCTATGAGCAGCCGGAGACGAAAAAACATAAAAAGACGCTCCATGACCGGTCTAGAAAATCGGGACTTGGATCCTCATCCTCCAAGACAGCGTGGTCTTGTTGTCTGACTGCAGACCGTGGCTTTAAGTCTTGGCTTTCGCTGGTATGAGCCCAGTGAAGTAAGAATTGCGCTCTTTTGCAGGATAGCCTGCGCTTCGCAGGATAAGCTCTGCGTTAACAAGTGTGCTTCGCAGGATAAGCTCTGCGTCATGAACTGTTCTTCGCAGGGGGGCGCTGCGTCCCGAAGTGAACTCCGCAGGGGGGCGCTGCGATAACAAGTGAACTCCGCAGTCTAAGATCTGTGATGACAAAATCCTCGCAGCTTGAGGTCTGCTTTACCAACATCCTCCCTCACAGCCAATGAGCCCTGTGATGGTAAACGTGTGCTCGATCGGAGAGGACCTAGGGCCCAAGGTCTACACCATGATCCTCTAGCGACATGCAGGTACCTCTCCGTGGTGCTAGGGACCAGTATTCAAGTCTCGCTCCGGCGCTTGAAGGAGCCAAGACCTGCACGCCCCATTTTTGGGTACATTATGTAGCCCGAACTATGTAGCCCGGTCCATGCGCGAAGTCGATAGCGTTGCAATGAAAACAATTTTCGATTCTGACTTGTCCTAATGTAGAGACTGATCTTGTAAGCCCTGTCACTAAATTCCAATATAAGCATGGCACTACGTGGAAACCCTCAAGCCACACGGGAAGCGAGAGCATACATACAGTGTTGTCTAGCGAATAGAGACAATTGGATCACAGGCGACACGTCAGTATTACAACCAGTCGATAGTTCATATCGATTTCACGTCAGTGTTTCCATGTAATTTGCGGATACTGAGATGCTTGTCGACGCTGTTGACCGTGTTGGTGAAAATGGTGAAGATGGTGAAGATGGTGAAGGTGGTGAAGGTGGTGAAGGTGGTGAAGATGGTGAAGATGGTGAAGATGGTGAAGATGATGAAGATGATGAAGATGGTGAAGATGGTGAAGATGGTGAAGATGGTGAAGATGGTGAAGATGGTGAAGATGGTGAAGATGGTGAAGATGATGAAGATGGTGAAGATGGTGAAGATGGTGAAGATGGTGAAGATGGTGAAGATGGTGAAGATGGTGAAGATGGTGAAGATGGTGAAGATGGTGTTGAAGCTACGTTGATAACCAGGAGAGTGGGGAAACGTTGAAGTAGTGAATCACGGGCGGTGAGTCAACCACATAAATCACCCCTGCCGCCCCACACCTTATCCGAGTTACCTGCAAGACCTTATTTGCTTTTCCTTCGTAGTGCAGAGCGTCTCTAACTTCCATTGTGATTGGAAGATTGTACGGCACTACATAGACGGCAAGCTCTGGTAAAACCTCAGATTCACTCTAGTGGCATAATAGATTTTCTTGGAATTCAGAGGAATATGGGTTGAATTATTCTTTTTGATAAGAAAGAACCGACTGTGGATAGGAGTGAAAGTACTAACTAATGTCCAATCAACTGTCTTCTTCGTCTAATTAGTGCAGGAATTAATTCTAATGCTTCCCCGTTGTTCCTGATGCGCTCTTGTCCTGTATCCCAACATATTTCAATTACTGCTGAGTATACAACGGTCTCCCTTCTTTGAAGGACAACGATGGTCAACTGTTAAACAAAGCATGATTTGTATAATGTTGAAAGGTCAGTCGGGGGTTATGAATTGAGGATATCACGCTTGACACAGGGATCTCTCGACTTTATTCCGATCCGGCTGGATTGCTGCAGCCTCGAATCACCCCGCCAAATTGATGCTGTGCGAATATGTATGCGATTTCTGTCTTCGTATTGTGGGCTTCCACTTGCGTCTGTCCCACGAACTTAGGGGGTTACACTTGATTACTGACTTCTACCAACATTATATACCCCCGTTAGTCTCACTGACAGCGACGTCAGTGGTCTACGAGGGGCACAAGAATCCACAAAAATAGCTCATGATGGTCTGATGTACTGACAAGAAACACGGGGAACCGGCCCAGGTTCGGCCAACAACTTGTGAGCAGGAGCAAACAACTCCCACCTTTCCCTCTAGTGGAGCCGGACGAAGCGACAGATCGGGTCACTCTTATAAGCACCGAGTCAGATGCCCGGGGAATTGCAAGGAGCTGTGTCGGCAGGGCCGTGCAGGTATGGATGGAGGTACGCTCTCGCATAGATATGGTGTAGCTTGAAAGTGTCCCTAAACTAAACACCGCATGATTCAACAAGCCTTGCCAGTATAACAACATTGATCACATCATCAGCGTGCCTTGGGGAGTTGCGAATCGCGTTTGCAATGCACACTACTCCTCTACCATAAGCAATGGCCCACCCTCATCCTTCATGATTCGAGAAGTGAGAGTTCGAAGAGCACACGTGGCATGCGACCGAGCAATGTTAGGCTTGTGTGCAAATGGAAAGGGACGGAGGGTAAGAGTGGAACCGCAGTTGTTTCGAAGTCGTCGGCTTGGTGAGAACTCGCGCACACTATCCAGGAACATTGGTGTTGGCATGAGGGCACGCTCTGGCATTAATATGGGGTCGCTTGAAAGAGCCCCTAAACTGAGCACCGCATGAGTCAACAAGCCTTGCCAGTATTATGACAATAATCAAAGTGAGATTTCGAAGAACATACGTGGAATGTGACCGAGCAAGGTGACCGAGCAGGGTGAAAGATGGATGACCAAAGGCCATGCGATGATTGCTTATCGCGGTGCATCAGCTGCAAAATCGACGGCGGCGCTGTAGGCTCCTTTTCTGGATGAGGCCATTGCTGTGTGTTCCGGGGTGTTCAATGAGGCTGAGATTAGGGCCGCTGAATATTGTAGGTGGACAGGGGCGCGTTGCGTCGTGTCGCGTCAGCCGCGTGCCATCAAAGGCGGTGGCGATGCCAGGAATCCAATCCCCTCTGCCATGGCTGATGTCCCGAACACGATGCGGTCGGTCACGGTCGTGGATTGCGCGATGGCGGATTTTGCTTGGGTTTGGCCTGTGATGTCGATCAAGCATGCATCACTCACGAACTTAGCTGAGTCCTAGGCCGGTGTTCGTCATGCGCTGCCGCTGCTAGGCATGCTCCGACAAGCTCTCGGTCCGTCAGGGCTTCGAAATGCTTCCTCTTTGAATGATCACATTTCTATTTTCCACTGTGGTACTCCACGAACTGTGGTACTGAATGATTATGACTCTACTCATTGGAGGGCCCCTGGGCTATTTTTATCAGCAAGAACACTAAGCCCGCATTCAATCACTCACATCTCTTGCTGTCACATTCTCATCGAATGGAAGTCGCGTCGGCTTCTTTGGCCTTAAGCCAGCATTGGAGTAAAAATCCAGGAAACACGGCCGTCGGCTCTGATGAGGTATCAAACCAGTCGAATAAGCAGCAAGTTCCTGTCACAAGTGGGCATACTTGGTGCAGGGCCAGTTAAGTAGGAAATGAGTCGAACTATTGGAGCGGAGACAATGAGTAGATGGAGATACACGGTGTGCAGACTGCGCATAGAGACAAGACGGGCCTACCATAAAGGGGATGGGACCGTTGGAAACTGTTCAAGGCGGGGGCGAGATGAAAGGAGACCGGTGCCAATCGACAACTTGACGTGCAGAGAAAATGTTAGTCACACAGTCATCAAGGTATCTAGCCAATCAGTACTTACAACTCCAAACTCTATACAGGGGCGTGTTCGTGAGCGACTATGTTTTTCAGGATTAGCCGTGCCTTTCGGACGCGTTGTTATATATGGACAAGGTACAGTATTTTAGAAGTGCTCAACGAGATACATGGTTAGAGCGTATGATGTATCGTCACGGTGCGGAGTGTAGATAAGGCCCATGCTTGTATCACCCTTGGTATCAATCAGCCCCACATCAAGCAAGCAGAGCGACGAGGCGTACTTACATGCAAGTTTGGCAATCGTCAGAAGGGCCTTGGAAGGAGGAACTGCGGCTGGTCAGCACATCTTAGATCAATCAGAGCGTACAATAGGACCAGTGAGCCTTATGGGTGTTGACTTTCATACAGGCAGGCTGCAATCTGCGCGCTTCGTATTAGAAAGACGGAACGATGGCTGGGGCTATCGAAGTGTTGTATAAGTAGGCCTCCTTCTTATCGTTCAGGGATGTCTGCAGGCTGGTGATTGTATTTATAGATGTCGCTCGCCCCATTCTTGGTAGTTCCGTGTCAACGTTGAAGTATGTTCAGCATCTCGTAGCGTAGCCTTGCTCACTCCTTACAAGTGTGCTTTCTACCCTTTTCAACAGCAGGCAGATTAGACTGGATTTTCAAGATCAACTTGTGGCTTTGGGTCGATGGTGACTGTCAATTCAACCATGGATTATGGTTGCAAACGTTTCTTCAACGCGGCTTTCTGTTCTCACCGCGTCGTTGACTCAACGGCCGCACTCACAACATCACCATTACATTTATGTGCCATAACTGCTATGTGATGTACATGATGCTGGCGTCAGGTTTGCCTCCGCTACCACACCAAGCAATTCACTACTTGGCAAGGAACTGAGTCACTTGGTACGAATCGCGAATCTGCTAATTTGGACCCTTGTCAATTGCGGTCGCGCTTCCTCCTGGCACTGGGGAACCGCAATAAAAACTTTACCGGGACCGGGGCATCTACTTTTTCTTATACTGTAGCAACTTGAGAGCTCCTGGCTCCGTTTTTGTTAATTACTGTACATACTTGTATGTCTCTTGTTGTGTGCTGGGTAATAGGTGAATTCATATATATGATGACGGGTACATTTTGGCGCTCGACGGGCAAAATATATCTTGTCAATTTGTGGCTTAAAAAATCAGAACCAACACATGGAAATGGTCGCAGATGCATAGCGATTCAGCAGAGCCGCCCTTTAGAATAACCTCTGCTTTTCAGAGCAACTTTTTGTCCGAATTGGGATCGGAAGAGGACAAACCTATCTGGAGCTCAGAAAACTTGGGGAAGTCATTACTCTTGCGAGAAACAAAGAGGAGATCCATTGAAACTTGTGGCGTATATGCTCGTTTTCTTTTTTGGCCTACTAGTAACTCCACCTTCCAGGTCATGCGTTCGAATCTTTCGGGCATCGTTATTTCTAAACGATGTTCAAAATTTAGTCCATCAACTCCCGCACCGTGTCATTGCAGTTCGCCTAACTAGAGAGGCGGATGCAGCGCGTTGTCTCCACACCCTTCCCGCATCCTTCGTAACTCTCTTTTGCGATCGTTCTTGGGTCCATCGTTGACGAACGCGCTACCACAAAAGGATAGTGCACATTTCGTGCTCTTTGCCGTTCGCCCTTTAAACCAGTTCCCGTTCATATATCGGACGAGCCTGCGTTTTCCTTTGTGACCGGCTAGCAATTGGACGTCAGCCGTCCACGGAAACAAGGATCGTAGGCAGAGCTAGTCCGATTAAGACTAACCACGTAGCGATTGCGGCCTCCCCATCTTCTATGCGGGGCATAATGGGCTTTGAGGTTATCGCGACGCGTGAAGCGGCGCTGGCACTCCGGAACCCAGCAGGCATATGACCTTTCAGCCAGGTGGCCGGACAGATGACGCTGTAGGCCATTGAAATGTCGAAAGTGACCGCTGCACCTTGCAACGCTGCATTTCAATTGCCGCCACCGAAACGGCCGTGGTATGCTGTTGCGGGTGTTGCTGGAGTGTCCTTGGTTGCCATAGACGAGGCGTGTGACAATCATTTGTTTCAACAGCGCCGCTTTTGTGACTATCTGGCACGGCGAAACGTCATCCTTAGTAGCATAGTTGGTAATATAATACAGAAGAGACAACGACTTGGACACGGTTAGAATCTAGGAGATATCATGATTTGCTTTAGGGTACCGGAGTGTGACGATGTGGGGCACGCAAACTGCTTGCCAGCCACAACCGAGAACTACTAGCCAGTCCCCGCTCCCACAGAGGAAAATGTCGTAGGGGTCATGTTCTTAGAAAACGCTAGATGAATTTAGCGTTGTTACAGTATTATTCCGGTTGCCTGAGTATTCCCCTCCGCTAGTATCCTTGTCTGACTGAGGTTGAGCTGGCTCTATTTTAGAATTATATACTCTTTTCATACTATTTAACATTCTTGACTAGTAATGGGTGTTTCTTTCGCAACCTCCAGTCTTCATCTGACATCACCAACCAACTAGACGACGTAGAGTTATTCTGTCCATATCCAACCTGCTCGAGCTAGTTCTAGCCGGACGCTATTGTAACCGAGATATACCATTCGGAATACCATTTAGACATCATTTCCACATGTTCCAAAACCAATCCACACTCCCTCTATTACGATCCGGCTTCGTCGAGGACCATTTCCTCAACAACTGATTAATTTCCACAAACCCAGGCCGATGCGATTCATTGCCCCGGGCATATTCCATTATCGACAAATATCCCAGCATATACCCAATCTCTGGTTTCGCCCCTCCCACTTCCAACAAAACCCGAACTGTCGAAACATGACCGCGAAATACCGCACGAGCCAGCGCACTCCACCCGCCGCGGTCACAGTAATCAACATCGGCCCCTCTCTTAATCAAAAGTACCACCACCTCTTCATGCCCCATTGCGGCCGCATACGAAAGCGGCGTCCTCTCCCCCGGCGAAGAATCCGAAAAGATACTATATTTCCCATCCTTCGAATTCATATCCACTTTACAACCGTCTTCACAATCCAACAAGATCTCCACAATCTGCCTCTGTCCCCTCTGCGCCGCCCATGATAATGGCGTCCTCTCTAATAAATCCCTCGAATCCGGATCTGCCCCTCTCTCTATCAATCTCCTCACGATCTCTTCCTGTCCATCCTCCGCCGAATGCGACAGCACCGTCCGTCCATCTGGTGTTCCCCTCCTATCCAAATCAACTCCTTCACTTTCCAGCAATGCCGACACAGCCTCCTCGTGTCCACGAACCGCAGCCACAGCCAATGGCGTCAACCGTCCATTTTCCTCCGTGCTATTAGGATCGGCGCCGGCTGACAGTAAAACTTTGATGACGTCTGTATGGCCACTCCCCGCGGCCCAAAAGAGCGGTGTTCGACCGCCCGGGTTGAAAGTGCGTCGGTCGAGGTTTTTTGTTTCGATATTCGCTCCGTGTGAGAGAAGGAGTTTCACGATGGACGTGTGGCCTTGGTCGCAGGATATGGTGAGCGCGGTGTGGCCTCGTTCGTATTCATGTTGGTCGTCGTTGTTGGGATTTACACCTTCTTTCGTGAGGAGTGTGTGGACGAGAGAGAGTTGGCCGGCTTTACAGGCGTGAATTAGTCGGGTGGCGAGAGATTGTTCGGGTAAGTAGGAGGAGGTTTGCGTTTGTGTTTGTAGTTGGGGTTTCGAGAGTGGAGGCGAAGGTTCTTGTTTGGTGGTTCTGTTCATGGCGCCCAGTTTTCCTTTGTACAGATAGGTAGCCCTTTAAACTCCTAAATCTAGTTTCTGTGGTGGCGCTTTGGGGGGTGGCAGTTTACTCGATTACTAATCTCGATCGCCCTAGACATGTATTCCGCAAATCAGAGGCTCGAGAACACGCCACGACATCGCTAACGCGCTCACTGGCATATTTGTGCCGGCGGTTTATGCGTCGCTTTTATTACAATTCACCAAGGTTTACAGATGTAAGCTCTTTCTCTTTGGATTCGGCTGAGTACCACACTGACAGATATTCTGAAGCAAAGGGTGAGGCGAAGAATTGATACCATTGGCCAATGGTGTTCATTGCGTGATGAAGTGGGACACAACGACCGCAGTGGCCTCCTATTCGGTAGTGCTTGTCCATGCAGACACCTAGCCCGTGTGGCTCGAAATCCGTACTAGACACATATCGAGAGCCACGAGGCCAGTCATGTAAAAGATCTGTCGAACTGCGTCCAGACGGGCTTCCAGTCTGGAGAGGCGGGTCCACGGCGGAGAAGCCGTAGCGATAGGAGTCTCCGCTTCCAGTAAGGAGGGATTCCATTGGCTCACTGTGTTCATTGCCTGCTGAAGTGGGTCAATATCGAAATATACCCACTGAGTTCAAGAAATGGCTACACCTTCAGTTCGCTTTGAATTCATCTGAGAAGGTACAAGCAACAAATTTGACCACAAGGGTATCTCCGAACGGCGAGTGCAACCCAACATACGGTTTGGCCTCCTCCATTGCCGCCACAATTCTCTGTCCCAAGCGATCCAAGTTGAGGCGGATGCGACCCTCACGACTCAGGGCGACGCGGCCGACCCAATGAACCGACCCTACCCCAAGCATATCCCGTGGCTTGATTTCCCTTAACTCCAGGAACAAGTCTGTGGAAGTTCGACTGTACCGCTGCCTTTCCCTTGCGCCCACTGTTCTCTTCTGATACCAAATCGATTATGTCTTTACGAATATCCAGAACAGACAGATCTATTCGGTAGCGTCTCTTCGGAATTTTGAGCGAGATACGGTGGTTAACTTTGTCGAAAAGGTCATAACAGATGAACCCCTTCGACATGAATTTGGAATCCAAGGCTGAGTCACATTCTATGATGGTGCAAACCCATCGGAAACTGTAGCAAATGAATCTTCAAGACGCCCCGACCGTAGTCGCAAATTTGGAAAGACAAGCAAGTGCTTCTCGTACTGGAGCCAAGAAACCATCAACAGAAATTGGTATGAACAGGGCTGGTGAAAGGAAACATCAAGCGAGACCTCGAACTGAGAATGAATAACTACTATCCGCCTTATTGAAGCCATCACATTCGTTTATGTAGGATGAACACTCTGTACGTGGAATATGTATGAAGGTGGTTCAGTAAAGAAAAGCTACTAAGATAATAAGATTCGCTCCGTGGCTTTTAGTTGACCTAAAGAGATTGGCTAACGTTGCTCAAGAAAAACCTATCATGCTCTTAGGGGTGGTTTCCGCCAAGCGACTGCGTGGATCCAAAACATACGTCGCAGGTTCTCTACATAGGTTTTCTAAGTATAATTTTCGTCCAGTTAAGACAGAATTCGATCAAAGACTCGCATCACTATAACTTACACTACAAGATAGCACAGCACCTCTCTGCTTTATCTTTAGGTTCGAGAAGTGAGGCCGCCGATCCGGTCTCGAAGACATCTTTGACACCCTCCCCAGTCAGACTAGAACATTCAAGGTATCTATAGGCGCCAATCTTATGCGCCAAAGCGTCGCCAAACGATTTAGGTGTAGGCTTCAGCCCATTTTTGCGAAGTTCTTCAGTAGTGACTGTGTCATCGCGTAAGTCTTTCTTCAAACCGACTAGGATGATCGGGATGCCAGGGCAGAAATGGGCGGCTTCAGATATCCACTATCAATTTCAAATAGCGATCAGCAAACAATTTGTTATCGGAGTACCGCTTCCTATTGCGAGAACAAATCCAAGAGCATAGGGCAAAATGACCTTTTGCTCTACATTATCCATAGAATCTGGAGAGTCAATGGCGAAGCTGATGAGGACAACGTGTGCGCCGGGATATTTAAGTGGCTCTTACCGGCCAAAGTCATATACCCCTGCTGTGTCCCACAAGGCGAGCCGTATCTTAATACTATGCCCTTTTTCATTTGACACATTGCACTCGTAAATACCGGGACAGTGTTCGAAAGGCACATTGTGCCTGAGATCAAAGGTGCATTGAACCTAGATAATTGCGATTCAATTATACTTAGAATTTTAAGAAAAGCAATTACTGCGAGGCGGGACAAAGGACGCTTACCTTTTCCGGAGAATTACCGTATAGCGCAGCCCGTAGTAAAGAAGTCTTGCCGCAACAGGAATCCCCGACTAGGGTCAACTTCCTATATTCGATGTCAGCGTCGAATGTTGAGGTGGGTGGATAACACAAAGATCATTTGAAAGACGTTATTTGGCTCTCAACAAGCAAGAGCTGTATTATAGACCACGATAATATGGTGTGGTCAGGAGTGAGATAATGCGGTGATGAGCTCAATTGCGTGGCGTACCTTTGTGTGACCTTGTGTTCACTAGCCATCGTTTATGAAGCAGGCAAATCTCCTAGTGAGTGCGGGAGATATTCTTGAGAATCAAGTTAAGGCCCCGTATCGCATCAGACAATATTTTCTAGTGAGAAGAAGTATCGTCCCTAGTGTCGAGTGAGAGGGAGGTTCGACTTTCAGCCGTCGAGAGAGCAGTTGTGCGAGGAGAATATCAAAAGTGGAGGACGAATGTGCAGACTGATGTGATAAAATTAACCAAAACGAGGGGCCATTGTGGTGACACTTGACCAATCATAACACGGACAGAGTGCTCGTCACGGCTAGCACGCCCAAATAATAAATTTTTTATACGGATAAAACATAGGTATTATATAGGGGACAGCCATGCGGGGGTTTGCCGTTATCCTAGGCAGGGTGTTCCCCAATCAGATCCGGAGGGTGTGGTTATATAATATCATATCTCTTACGAGCTGCGCTGGGCAGTGGCCTCCGCTTACTGGAGTCAGAATGAGTAGCAAAAACGGAAAAGCCAACTCCGTACAAAACACTAAAAGAGGTGCTGATCGGACAAAGAACGGAGACTAGGATCCGCTCTAATAAGCCTTTGTCCAATGGCACTGAAAGCATTCGTCCAATACCACTGAAGCACGACAAGCCAACCATTGCGATTTTGGTCCAAATTTCGCCACAATTTTTGTATGGCTTTTGGCAGTCTCACGAATATTTACGAAAATCAGGATCAGGTTCTGTCACGTGCAGGAGGTTTCCCCTCTATCGGAATCCTTCTTTGTGGATCATGCTGGTGCACCAATCGGATATCAACAAGTCTGAATTGCTATGCTGCCCGTTGCTGGCAATTTGTGTGGGCATAATAATGACTAATCTCTCGGATCTATAGTATCTCCTTTCTTCCGGGTATCCACCTATGCTGCTGTTCCGACACCTTCCACTCGTTCCGCGCTTCAGGGCACGTGACCTGGGACACGTGAGGGTAAGGCAGATCCGATAATGCAGAACCCAAAATCCAATGACAGTGAAGAATGCAAACCAATTGATCGAGCAAGCTAAATCAGTAATGGCTAGTATTGCAATGAGTGGGGATTCTAGTGGAAGGGGAACCAATCAGTAGGGTTGACAGATTGAATTGATTGATTGTAGATAAAATGAGTGGCAGGCGGGTATGTTAAATACACATCTGCAGATTTGGTCCATAGTTGATATGTGGATGGGACCAATTCCTCCGTGTCTTAGAGGACCCATGGGATACTCGAGAGTGACTCGAAAGTGTTGTCTCGGACCCCGTAATTTACATACAAAGCACAAAGAAAGGCGGGGGACGAAGGAAGCCAATAGGAGGCAGCTGTAAGTAACTGCTCCACTATCCTCGACATGGTGGTCAGTGCCACCGGTGGTGGATATTGTCGTTGTCTGCTCTGACACTGACCCATGACTCACTTTCCTCCTGCTGCCTTTTTCCTATGCAATCTGACATTGACTTTCTTCCACCAACATGAAGACTATCCTTCGCTTCGCTGACCTATTCATCATCCTGCCCTCCCATCCTCCCTTTCCCAACCATGGCTCGCACCGCCCTATTTGTGATCGATATTCAAGCCGATCTAGCCCAGGATCCTCGAACTGAAATTCCTCACGCCGCTCGAATCCGAGATGTTGGGGCCGCCGTTCTTTCAAAGGCACGAATAGCCATCGACAATGAACTTGGTCGCGGCCTAGGTGCCAATCTTAGCATAATCATCGTCCAACACCACGAAACCCCTGAAAATGGCTCTTTGGTTAGAGGCAGCAAGCCGTGGGAGTTAGTTTTCAAACCACGTAATGAAACAGAGAGGATTGTGGAGAAGACTACCAGTGAGTTAAAACTTGACCGATTGCTTCAATACAATCACGATCTCTTGTTTTACAATAGAAAATGGTGTCCGGGCCACTTACTGTACTTATATAGGGGACACGTTCGAGTCCAACCAGCAACTCGCAGATCAGCTAAAAGCCGAAGGGATTGAAGAGATTGTGGCTTTTGGAATTCAGAGTGAATGTTGCGTTCAATCAACCTGTGAGGGGGCATTAGCTGCTGGCTTCAAAGTTGTGTTGCTGCAGGGAGCCCATTCGACTTATGATATGGGAAGTAGGAAGGCAGAGGAGATTGAGCGGGAGGTTGAAGAGAAGCTCCGCAAAGCAGGTGCGGAAATTATTCCATGGGATACATGGCAACCTTGACATAGACCAAGGATAGCCGCAGCCGACGTCCGTCCTAGTCATAGATAATGCATCCTTCCACCACTCCGAACGGACTGCGTAATTATATATCAATATCGGATTCAAGTTGGTTTACTGTATCTACCTCCTTATTCGCTAGATATAAACCCGGGCGAAGGAATTTTTGCCAAGCTCAAGGGCTTCGTTCGAGCTTAGCTAGAGCTACTATGAAGATCATCCAGACTGAGGATTTGGTTTATTTTTTGGCTGGTATTATCATGGTTGGAGATAGAGAGCAGAGTAATAAAGACCATCTTTAGCACGTAGGCCTGACTATTTGTACTCCCTATACTAGATCCCCTTAGCGGCACCGCTCCATTGAGCGATCGGTCTCTCATTGAGTCTCAAGAGCTGCAATTATAATAATTCTGCGAGAAAATGAAGGAAATGCATTGATGAATTTAGGGCTTTTGGACTTGTCACTGCTCTCTTGTGTCACGGGCCAATCAATACCCGATATTTGCCGCGTCTGCCACGAGACCTTGGCACGTTGACACGGCGAACGTGCGGGGGAAAACTTCTTTTCTTTAAGCCTTTTGTACACACACAATTTATTAACGCCCGGCGGCTAACCCGAAAGGGCAACTATCACTGATCTATCAACACAGGTCCTAATGTACATATGCCGTATCTCCTTCGAGCCCATACATGGATCCTTTCAGTATATGTCCTCTCAGCTGTCGATATCATACGGATCCTTGTGGGTTAGTAATTTTATTAGTAGACTGGCTTGAAGGCGCTTCTTCAAGTGTTCAACATCCTATCCTCGGCAGTTGAAGCGCGTTTACCATCTTTGGCACAAGGTGGTTGGTGTATGTTAGTTAGGGGCCGAAAGACATTAAGTAGCTTCGACAGGCCTACTTGCATAGACCACTACCCCAGTTTTTCACCCGATAATTGAGGCTTCTGGTCCTTTGAGGTTCACCACGCCTCTCACCCTGGGTGTCTCTCAGTTTGCTCCATAAGCATACATCACGGGCAGGCCAACTAGGACGACACCGCTTCAACCGACCAAGGTCGGTCTCAGGCCCCCAGTGCGAGTGAGGTAGTTGACTCCCGGGTTTTTGTACACCGACACGCGCATCCGTCCTCTCGGGCTATACAGACAGTCTCTTGACAGGCCCCGACCCTGTCGCAGTGGCTGCCATTGCACACCACGCCCCGCGAGAGCTTACACTCTCGTTTCGCGTTACCTGAGGAGGTCTCCCTCCCTCAGGCCGACCGTGTCTTGCAGAAAGTTCTCTATACGCTCCCTCCGGCAGTGTATATTGGTTGCTCTCCACTAACCAAGCTTGGTCCCCGGTATGTGAACAGGGTCGACGGGTTGCCGTGGCCAAGCCTTAACGAGTTCCGACGGCTGCCACCAGCTAAATACCGACATTTTCCAGATTGCCCATGTGTCTCCCAAAGAGGATGCCCGTGTCTCGGTGGTGCCCGTGTCTCAAAGAACAGCCGGCCTGGAGGGTGCCCGTGGCTGGGCCTTAACGAGGTCTCCAGCGAACGACGTCTCTGAGTCTTAACGAGGTCCGAGCCTTAACGAGGTCTCTGGGCCTTGAACGAGGTCTGTCCGACGTTAGCTTGACTGCCTGTGTCACCGGTTCACTACCGCCTCGCCGCATCTCGCACGATGCGATCCCAGACCGTATGCTCAGGGGTGTCCTGTCTTCCTTTTAGGGCGACACCACTTTCACAGGTAATGCAAGGCCAGCTTCTGGGCCCGAGTGCGAGTCGGGTAAAAAGAAGTCGGGTGATTTTTGTATCCCATTATCCCCTGATTTTGTTGTGGTTGTGCGATCGTGCCCCGCGCCTCCCACACCGGGTCGGACCGCACAACCACGGCGGATTCACTTTGGTCTCCCAACGGGGATTAACACCGGACACCACGAGAAGGTATGAATCCATTGTCCCAGCAGCCTGGCGAGGACTGCTGCCCAGTGTGAGCTCACTGGGGGCGATCGGTACAGTGATATTCGAAATCAGTTTTACCTCCAATCTCTCTCTGTTTCCCAAAGCCCCACCAAAATCGCACTAGTCCGTATTTGAATATCTCCGCAGCCTTACATTTTTCCGTGAGTCAGCGTAATTACAGTAATTCCATCTCTTGCGTCTGATTCGCCAAAGCTCTGGAGAATGCGCGTGAGGCTGTGATCTTGGTGGCTTAGAGGTATGTACTAATTTTGTTAGAGGATTCCTGCAGCCATTACGCTACGCGACACAACTTAGCTCCTTCATTTCCGTGGTGCTCGCCACCCCGCCAAATACTATGCCACTGCTTCAGTAATCTTCGAGGGAAGAGGACGAAAAACCGACAATGACTACATCACTCACGTCTCAATACACTGGAATTGCGAGTGAAATACTTACCACTTGACCACGTGTAAGAAGAGCACATGCAAAAAAGGAATAGAAGAGAGCATATGCACTCTTCCTAATCATGAATCTTCTAAATTAAGCTTGGCATACTGATCGACAAACCCATCGAACAGCTTGTTTAGTCCGAGCAGGTTCAAGGGATCCTTATCACCTTGTGCATCCATGAAGCAAAGCATGTTATGGATGTCAAAAGTGATGGCCAACAGGTATCCGTATTCAGATTCCAGAAACACCTGATCCCCGGTATCTGAATCACCGGGTCAGTTTGTTCCACTGTCTGGCATACTCGTCACAGAAATGTCTCTTCTCGTCCTCGGTATATTTCCTGCAGCCTGCTATCCTGCTCTCCTCATCAAACCACTTGAACATCTTTTGCATGAAGTGCCCACCAATGTCAAATGCTCGGTAGTTCTGCATTACGAACTCAAAGTCAATTAGGATGACTTTGCTCTCCCCTTCCTTCACATGACTTTTCACCATCACGTTCATGAATTGGATGTCATGAATACACCATCCAGTCTTTCCTCCTGTGGTTTCCAGCTTGTCCACCACATTTCTCAGTCTCCTCCCATAGTCATAGTCGACCAGTTTGTCGATACTGATACCTGCTTCTTTTCCAAGTGCCTTCAACTTGTCCATTTTGAGGTAATCCCTGAGTCCATTGATGACGGCTTCATAATATAAATCCACCGCCTTTTTCTCCAGTGACATCTTCAAGACATGAAACGTCGCCAGTCCTCTGGCAACATCCGCTCGGATGACCGAATTCTCAACATCCTCCGGTTCCATGTTACGTGCATCCAAGAACTCCTCGACTCTCCCGAGTGTGCCATCTTGTGTCTTGAAGAATCCATAGACTTTGGCTCCCAGCCCGGTTCGACCGTATTCGTAGCAGAGAAGTGCTTCCTCATGCTTGGTTGGTGCCAAAGGCTTGAAGATTTCGAGGCAGCTCCCGGTGTCATTGTGAAATTTAATGAACACCTTCAAGGTCTCAGTAGGGGTGCCAGTAGCGGGCTTCGGTCGCTCCACGTGACAGTGGGCGTTGACAAACGACGCATGGTATGACATAGTCAGGGTTTCTGGATCCACAGATCGCCATTCTTCCGTCAGGAATGTGCCTATAATGTCCCTGACGTTCTTTTTAGTTGGTACTTCGTCTTTGGAAAAAGTGACAGGAACAGGCGTCAAAGTGGCCATCTTGCTTTGATGTGTGATGGAGTGCCTTGAGCGATGTGAAAAGAGGCAAAAAGGTGGGTAGGTTAAAGTATGTGCCAATGGTGTGATGATTTATCAGGGGACTTCGCAGTTTTTGCATGTCGGCTAAATCGCGAAAATGATTGGTACGGCGCTGAAAATTGTTCTTTATGATTTATGAAAATAGTGCCGGGGTCCCGAAGTAGTTTAGCGTCAAATCGATACCCAGTCAGGAGAGCCGGATGGCTTGCGGCTATTCCAGATCCAGGTTGGTGCACTTCTTAATAAAAATCTGGAGATAGTGCGTCTGAGTGGGGAAACATATCTGGTCTCAAATACGCAGTACTGCCGTGGGCATAATAATGACTAATCTTGGCGGAGGTAAAGTATTTCCTTTCTCCGGGTATCCACCAGCACTGCTGTTCCATCACCTCCATACTACAAGAACTGGTCATGTGACCTCAATCCCTTATTTCCCGAACATCTGTTTCAGACGGAGGTGCATAGTACCTCAGTTGAGCTCACTTGCTGGGACGGCCAGCACAAATGCACGCAGACAGTCTATATGGCTACTCTTTCTTTGCTCAGGGGGAACGAAATTTCGTTAGAAGATGCCCTGACCGACGACGATAATATCTTACACCGCCTGGACTACCCACAGAAGCAGCAAGCCTTCTGTTCATATTTACTTGACCACAAAGCGGACATCGAATCATTGGTTTCATTCCATCTTGGCGTGAATCTATGTGAAATTGCCGACCAGGTTGATTGGTTATTTGGGAGTTACAACGTGTGCATTCCAGTCTACGTGAATCGGCCATCTGGCAAACGTGTCCTATTTCGAATCCCACTGCCTTTCAAAGTTGGAGAAGAGGCGCATCCTGGGAATTCAGACGAGAAGCTGCGCTGCGAAGTCGCTACATATATTTGGATTCGCGAGAATTGTCCAACTATTCCGATACCTTTCCTTCATGGGTTCGCGTTCCTCAATGGGCAAACTGTGAGTTAATGTCCTGTCTCCTTTTATTGGATTGAAAGTGCTGAATGTACTATAGTTTATCCATGAGCAATCTATGGATGTCTGTACTCGATGGTTCCACCGTATGAAACGAACACTGCTATCACTGCTTGGGTATCCCAAGACATGTCCATTTATCGGCACCAAGGGTAGCGGTGCCTTTCGCATCGGATATATGATTATTAGCTTTGTTGAGAGTGGCAGCATGCTGTCTAACACGTTGTCAAAATTCCTTCTGACGGACAAGACTCGAAGACAAGCTCTTTTCAGCGATCTTGCAAAGATCATGCTCACTCTTAACCAGAATGAATTTTCACGTATTGGATCTCTGACTTTGGATGATGATGGCTTGATTCATTTGAAAAATCGACCCCTTACGCTGCGACTCCAAACTTTCGAAAATGAAGGCATTCCCACTATACCAAGGAACTCTACGTATCAGTGTGTGGAGCCTTACATCTTGGATCTGTTGCAATGTCACGACAACCGCCTCCACTACCAGCCAAATGCCATTCATGATCTTCAGGACGGCCAGGAACAGCTTGCTGCTTTGACTATGATGCGAAGTCTCTTGCCTCGATTCACTTCTCGTCAATATCGCGACGGTCCGTTTCTACTCACACTTACTGATCTCCATCCAAGT